GAGATCGCACCCTCATGCCCTAGAGTTCCCAGGACCACGGAGGCCTGAGGTCATCGGCCTGAGAGAAGGTAGGTCTGTGTCATCAAGGGTACAGGCAGAATAATTTATTGTCCACTTAGGAACTCGGAGGAGTCTAATTGCTGGACGCATGCTCATTGCCCCCCATCCCACATGTCAGCCTTCCACACACTGTGAAGTGGGGGCGGCCACACAGCCAGACGCTGACTCACGTCCCAGCCACGAGCTGACAACCACACAGCAGGCATGACCTCAGGGAAATATGTGGGTGCCAGACCTCAGGAAAACCAGTTTGTCACAGAGGCATGGACTTGGCTGAAATAACTGCATCCAAAGCAATTGGGCCTGGATGAGAGTTTTGACGACATGTTGATTTTTTGTGTGAAATAGGAAAGTTTCTAATTTTTCCGTATATTGTGTTTTGACTTTCTTGTTTTAACTCATTTTTGGCCTTTAATCCCTGAGAGACTATTAACTCTAGGGATTTACTTACAACAAAATAAATGTCTAACAATATGATATTTGATGGAAACAGCCTACCTGTCCGGTAATAAAAGATAAATTATGACTAGCTATGTCTTCATCCAAATTTGCTTTCGAGCAAGTTGCTTATGGCCAGACCACATATGCGTTCTTCACCTCACCTGGCCCACTTCCAGAACAGTCTCTTATCTTGTTCAATCACACGTTTCCCCTCAGGTTTATGGTCAAGGAAGTTTGTCAGAACGAGTAAAGGTTAAGGAATACCAGTTTCAGCATGGCTTATTGTGATCGACACATAGTGACAGATTTGGGCAGAGGATTAAGTAAAGATGTGGTCTGAATTGTGCGAACTGGCTCTCTTAGTCTGTTCAGGCTCCTATAACAAAGTACCACAGACTTACGAACAGCAGACATTTCTTTCTCACAGTTGGGAGACTGGGAGGCTGAGAGCAAGATGCCAGACCGTTTTCTGGGCTGCAGACTGCCACCTTCTCGTTGTGTCCTCACCACCTTCTCGCTGCGTCTTCACACAGCGGAAAGGGAGAGCTAGCTCACTGGGGTCTCTTTTATCAGGGCACTAATCTCATTTATGAGGCCTCCACTCATGACCTAATCATCTCCCAAAGGTGCCACGTTCTAACACCATCACCTTTTGGGTTAGGATCTCAACATGTTAATTTGGGGGGGGGGTGGACACAGGCACTCGGGCCATATAGCACTGACCAAATTTAGGACTAACTGCTTTGGTTAAACATTAGGATTCAGGGTTCAAATGGGAGGTTAGGCATCTGGTCTCATGGTTCATGATGTTGTTGTGTTGGTGATGTTTTAGTATGGTTATTAATTCAGACCGTAAGAAGCACAAAAGGACCAAGGTGAGCATTGAGTCTAAAGCAACATTCTCTCCTGTTTGTATTACTCCCTGAGAAGAATCACCTAGAGTCCTGGCTACAGCGCATGTAGATAACTGGGCCTGACCTTCACCATAGTAAGACATTTTTGGAGGCAGGGTCCCCAAAGACCAAGGATCAAAATTGAAAATGAACTGAGGTTTAGAATGAAGGATTAAAGATAAAAATGGATTTATAAATCAGCCTAAACTCTGATTACAATTGACTGGGAATGTGAATAATCTTTTCTAACTGGAGACTTGCCTCCTTGCAATCAATCGGACATCCTCTTTTTCTCTCAATTTCAGAGCCCAGGGGAGATGTAGGTTTTCAGCAGGAAGTCCATCTGGATGCTAATGACAGGCCTGAGGAAGGAAGAGAGGAGTCTCTTGTACAGATAATCTGGAAGAACCTAGAACCTTCTAGAATGAGCTGAATAGAGTTATCACACTGTACTCCTAGGAGTTGGGGGCACGTCTAGGAGTCCATGGAAAGACAATGAGAAACCGGGGTTTTGTTCAGGGTCTGTCCCTTCCCAGGGCACCACCAAATATTTCAGATGGTTTTAATTCAAATCTCCTCTGAGGTAGAAGTTGGAGGGCCCATTTTTTATGCACTGGGACACAGATTAGGAGGGAAGTACTTCAAAAATCTAAAATTAGAGCCAAAGGATTGTTTGTGATAGATAGCCTAACAATATGCCATAAATTTCATTGGTTTATTTTGAAAGTCTTGCCCTTAGAATGATTATATTTATTTTTATACTCTATGTTTATGTATTTATTTTAAATAGTTCTGAAATAGTCATACTTTTCAAAACATGCTGTTCCTACAAAGTTTGTGATGAGATTACAGGTGTTACATATATGTAAATATAATTTTGTTTACATTTTCAGGATAGGTTTTGTGTTATTATATTTATATAATATATCAATTATAAGCAAATGGATAGTTCTCTCAAGTTCTTGTAACTACATTTTTAATTGACATTTACTCTTCATTATTCAATTGTGAGAATTCAGTTGTAATTTTTTAACTTGCCTTGATGACACATTTGTATGTTATTTGAGATTATTAAAGAGGATACCACAGTGTGTATCTTGGGGAAACATAATAAAGATAAAAAGTCTTCTTACCTTCATGATGTTCATAGTCATCCCAAGTCTGCCCTACCTGTTTGCTGTCAAATGATAATGTTGCTTAATGGGGTTGTGATCACTCAACCACATTTCGTAACTCTGAAAAATAATTCTGAGTTATTTTTCACATGGAAAAAAGCAATAGAAGACAAGGCAAATCCTGAGCTAGAGTTCTAAAGCCGGAAAACAAGGAGAAGATACTGAGGGAGGAAATGGGGAAGAAAGAAGGAAGATAGTACTATGGGGACCTAGATCTGAAAGTCACAATGAAGGCAAGGTGACTCAGCAAGATATGCATTCCCAGAGATGGTCCATGGCAAACACACCCACAGGTGCAAGGGAACACACGCAGTGTTCATTATTTTAATCATAAGGGGAGCCCTTTTCACAACCTCCAATTCCAGTTTACTGTGGTAGAAGGAAGATCCTTTGTGATGAAAAAGGAACAACTGAAAATAAGTGAAAGTTTTGGAGAACTTTCTGAGAAGCACGAGAAGGTAAGAGGGGCTAAAGCTGACAAATCAGATAGGCATGGAGAAGAAAGAGCTAATAACACGAATCCTGAATATTGGAGGAAACCATCTAGGGATGTGGTAGCACCAGAGAATACTGGGACTGTCCAAAATACCAAGCATCAGTGTCCCCAGGGCACACCACCCTCCTGGCACATAGATGTATATCACCAGTCAGGAAGCTCACCTGAGCCTTGGTGACCAGAGTTTGTATTGGGGTTTCATTATGCAAAGTATGATTAATTCTATCACTGGCCATACATTGAACTCAATCTCCAGCCCCCTGCCTTCCTCCAGAGACTGAGCTGATATCATGTGGTTCAAAGCCCCAACCCTGTTGGTCTTCCTGGCATGGCTAGCTCCTATCCTGAGTCACCTTGTGAGCATAAACTCAGTTTTGGTCCAAGAGGCCCATGATGAGTAACAGACACTGCTAGCATTTAGGAAATTCCAAAGATTTAGAGGCTCTCTCCCAGGAACCAGGGACAGGGACAAGATAAATTCTTTTTTTATTATTTTTAATTTTTTAATTTACATCCACGTTATTAGCATATAGTGCAACAATGATTTCAGGAGCAGATTCCTTAATGCCCCTTGCCCATTTAGCCCATCCCCCCTCCCACAAGCCCTCCAGTAACCCTCTGTTTGTTCTCCATATGTAAGAGTCTCTTATGTTTTTTCCCCCTCCCTGTTTTTATATTATTTTTGCTTCCCTTCCCTTGTGTTCACCAGATAAGTTCTTTATACAACACGCTGGCCATGGTCAGGGGTCTGGCAGAACTCAGGTGGTCAGGGAAGGTAAACATTTTAGGACACATATATCATGGGAGATATTTGAGACACTGAAGAAATAAGGATTGAAATAATGGGGTACGCACAGGGATTTGGGATATCTTAGGAGACATGAGAAATTAGGAGATGAATGTAGTTGTCTATATAGGAGCAGCTAATGACAGTGAGCAACTGAATAAAGAGAGGCCAAAGAAAAAATGTGTGGGGTGGGGGTGCAGTGCTGGTAAATGAGATCAGCTAATAAGCATGGAGCAATTTCAGAAAGTGAAACCACCAAGGCAAGAAGAGCCACAAGGACAACAGCATCAAATTACAGCAGCTCTAGGAGAGGGACAGCATTCAGACATCGGATGCAGTTGATGGACTGAGGGCAGCAGAAAGACTAGATTCACCAGACATGGAAACAAAGAGGAGAAACAGTCTGACAGGAACAGCTTGGAAACAGATATAACTTATGAGACACCTAGGAATTAAAACATATATTTAAGAAGCTCTAGGTCTCTGCAGGATGGTAGGTGAGGGCAGATTAGGAAATCACTAAAATGAAACAGCTGAATGAAGAGACACAAGAAACAGGACAATGGATTCAAACAATAAAGCAATAACAAACAGGCAAGAAAACAGATGGTCAGGTAACTGATGACAGGGTGAGATTCGGGAGTGTTTGGGAAACAGAGAGCATGGTGCAGAGCACCATGGTTTCAGCCAAGACACCTAAAGAACCTGGGATCAGGACTGATCCAGTTGAAGAGGGGTGGGGGGTGGGAGGGGCAACGCCGCTGAGAAGGGGGTGAGGCTTAAGAAATTTGGAGGACAAAGAGGTGGACCAGCTGAGAAAGTGGGAGATGCTGGAGGCAACCGAAGGCTGAGAAGGACTAAGAATCTGGGAGCTGCTTTGGAAATGTGAGCTGATGTCACAAGGATGTGTGGCTCTCAATGGTGGGAAAGTCAGGAACAGGTAGAAAAAGAAGAACAAAGAAGAGTCAGAACAGCTAGGCTACGGTGGCTGTGGCAAAAGGAACTGTCTCCGGGGTCTGAAAGGACTGACTCAGTGACAAACAAGGGGTGGT